TTTTTTTTTTAAGCGAGGGCTTCTCTCTCTCTCTCTCTTTCTTTCTTTCTCTCTTTCTTTCTTTCTTTCTTTCTTTCTCTCTTTCTTTCTTTCTCTCTTTCTTTTCTTTTTTTCTTTCTTTCTGTTTGTTGTTGGCTGTTTGAGGGGCCTTTTGCAGGGGGGCGCGGGCGGGGAAGCGTTTTCGCTTTTGCTTTTCCCGGCGAGGAGTTTTAAGAGGGAAGGAAAAAAAAAAAAAAAAAAAAAAAAAAAAAAAACAAAACAAAACCAAACCCAAAACCCGCGACGAGAAAAAGGCTGCTTTGGCGGCGAGGAAGCTGTTCTCTTTATTCTGGCTCTCGTCTCCGGAGCGGGGCCCGTGCTGGTGCCGGAGCTCCGGCAGGCTGCGGGGCTGCGGCCGCCCGCTCCCCCCCTCCTCCGCGCCGCTCCGCGCCGCCCCGCGCCGCCCCACGCCGCTCCGCGCCGGGCCGCGCCGGGGGAGGGCAAGGGGAGGGGGGGAGAAGCCCCACTTTCCTAACGGGCGCAGGGTCGGTGATCGCACACACCCACCCACCTCTCCCCTCTCAGAGCTCGGGAAGGGGGAAAGCCGGAGGCCGCTTTTTGCACCCCGTTAGATTTATTATTTGATTTGATTTTTTTCTTTTTCTTTTTCCTTTCTCTGTCTTCTATTTTGTCTTTTTGGTCTGGTTCACACACACACCCCCATCCCGCTTCCCTGCAAGGGACGGTGATTTGTTTAAGCAGATCTGGGGGCTGATGGCTCCGTCTCTCTCCTTGCCCTGTTTCTCTCGCTCCCGGAGTCTTGCTGCACGGAGTTGGGCCTTTGGAAGGGGGAGTGAGTGGGGAGAGGGGTGGGAGGGGGGCTGGGACGGTGGCGGGAATCCAGGAGGAGAATAAATGGTAACGATCAAGCACACACACTCACACACTCTCTCACACACACACGTTCACACTCGGTGTGGCTGCAGCAGTGCTCAGCCGTGGGTTAATGTACTCAACAGTGCCACTACCTGACACAACAGCAGCAGTGATGGGGGCAGGGGAGAAAAGGCAGAGGAGGTGAGAGGCTCGGGTTGGAACTGTTTAGCCCACCTCAGCTATTCCTCTCCCACTTCCCCCCATATATGACATGTCACAACACAGCTGCTGCAGGCTCACTCCTTGCGCAGGGAGATCTTCAGGGTGTGGTGACTGATGGTCAGGCTAGACATGAAGAACTGATCTCTGGGTTTGGAGAGGACAGACAAGGGCTCTCAATACCTTTGGCAAGGTAAGGATTAAAGCCTGCCTGCCCCTTTCACCAATAATCTGTGACAGTGCACAAATTCAGCTCTGGGCTGGTGGATGTATAGGCAACAGCTGTGCCAATTCCTTGCTTTCCCATCCTTTCTCTTCCAGCAATCTATATGATGCTGTTTTTTGGGTTGCTAGTTTCACAGATCTTTACTCACAAGAGTAAATTTTTTGTTTGTCTGAGTAATCAGATGGATGATGAGGAGAAATTCCCAGAAAAGGGAAGATTTGTGGAATGGAGCTGTGGAAGTGTACCTACAGGTGATAGTAGCACTGGGAATGCACTTTGGGAATGTCCTACCTGAGTACCTCTGTGTGTTTGATGTCAGTGATGGTGCCAAGGTCATATGCTGCCATCTGCATCCCAAAGCATTACAGGAGGCTCAAAGTACACAGTGTTTCTCCCCTTTGCTCTGGTACAAATGGTAATAGCAAGTTGTCATCTGAGTGTTCTGAATTCAGGGTCAGCTGACGCAAGGACTACCCTATTTGACCCTCAGCAGCTGCGAAGGCGTATTTGTATGCCATAGTCCCTTAAATGCCTGGTGTGGGATGTGTTTTTCTACAACATGCACGCTGGTCTATCACCAATCAGGTAGGAGAGCTCTATATGACCCAAAAGATACCAGCATACCTGTCACCACCTGGTAGGTGGGTGAGTATTGCTCTTAGCCCCACTGTGCATTCTGGGAACAAGCTTTCTGGAAAAATCTCCTAGATAAAAGTCACTCCAAGCCATTATTTCCCTTTAGATTTCTACACATGACCCACCTCTGCCATACTGCTGGCAAATGATGTGCTTGGGTAGAGGCAAATCCCAGACTGGTGTGTTGTGGTAGAGGCAATGGTCTGCATGCATCCTTTTTTTTTTTTTTTTTTCCCCTGGTCCTTCTATCCTGCTTCCTACCACAAACACTGGAACATAAATCCATAAGGTACACAAAAACAAACTACGGCCAACAGATCACCCCTCCTTCCATCTCAAACAAATGTGCGTCCCGAAAACTTTTGAATCAGAAATGTCACACCAAAATTGTTGACATTTCTGATTGAAACCAAACAAGCATTGTCGTTTTGAATCAGCGCTTTGACACGGAGTAGAGGCTTGTTTGTTTAAATTAAATCACCCAACTGGAGCTACATTTTGTCATTTTGTGTCTGAGTGAAACAAAGAGAAACAGTGTCGACATTTCTTGGCAGAGCTGAGAGTGACATTTTCCTGTGAAGGATTTTGGTTTTGAAAAGTTTTGGCAGGTAAATCTTCTGCACCAAAGAGCTCCACTGACCCTCATCTTCCTCCTTGGAAGAAGCCAACACACATGATTATGAATTAGTTGAGTTGATCAGATTTACACAGAAAACTGAATTTTGGAGCAAAATGCTCCAAAAAGAAAATAACAACAAAATCAGTTTTGATTTTTCCTTTGTTAGAAAATTTGTTCATATTTTAAAAGTTTTGGATAAAAACTTTCTCTTAACCCTTTGCTACTTTTGCTTTCCTTTTCTCCTCCGGCTTCCCTCTATATTTATTTATTTATGTATTTAAGCAGCCCCTTTGAATTCATTTTAAACTGAGAAGTTCAATCTGGGAAGCAATTGAGATAAAGACTTATTTAATGCTTGCTTACTATGAAGACATTGGGGAGTATAGCCTCCTCCCCTTTATTCCCCCCAGCAAAGGAAAAAAGGCAAAGGAAAAAGGAAAAAAAAAGAAAAAGGGAAAAAAAAAAAAAAAAAAAAAGGAAAAATGAAAGAAAAAGATAAAGGAAAAGAACAAGATTCAGACCTGTTCAAGAAAGTTTTTGGTTGATCCACAGTAATTCTTATGTCTGTATTGCATGCAACATACGAACAAAATAATATCACACCTAATTACTTGTAGACCACAAACTCTGACAAGTCCCATTGGACCGAATTTCATAAGCAGAAAAAGACCCATTCCTTTGAGTGATCACACTCTATAATGTGTGCGCATAAATCACTATGGGTCAGGGTTGACATCAAGGGATTTCTTACCTCTGCCTTCTAGATCTAGAAGATTTTTGCTCTTTTAAAAATTCTCTCCAAGCAGCTCTGTAAGGTGCCAGGGAGTTAGTACAATCTGAGTGGTTCATCTGCAGAAGTTTCCTTTTCTTTGTTCTTTTCACTTAAAAATACCATAGCATTCATGAAGTTGGTTTAGTTCCTGCAGTGGAACCTGAGATGCATTTCCTTTTTTTGTCTGACAATCTACAAGTAACCTTGGCAGCATGAGACAGGCAGATGTTTTATAATGAAGGTCACAAGCCTGTAATTTTTATACAAACAGCATATTGAGCTAAATACATAAGTAAGCCTTTTTGGGTTCAAGCTATAAATTAATGTTATGCAAAATTACTGGGTGATAAGATAATGTAAAAAAAAAAAAAAAAAAAAAAGTATTTGGTTTCTCAATAAAACAATGGTAACACTTTACAGGCTTCAAAAATACACACAAATCATTAAAAAGAAAAAGCTATTTACAATCATAAATAAAGTAAATTAAAGTGAATTAAAGCTGACCAGTTTCTTCATGAGTTTTAGCTTTCAGGTCTTCAGTGCAGTTGGGAGCTTTATACAGTAGACATCTATCTATCTATCTATCTTATCTATCTATCTATCTATCTATCTATTTACCCATCCGTGTATCCATCTATCTGCCTATCTATCTATCTATCTATCTATCTATCTATCTATCTATCTATCTATCTATCTATCTATCCATCCATCCATCCATCCATCTATCCATCCATTCATCCATCTATCCATCTATCCATCTATCCATCTATCTATCCACACATCATCTCTTAGACATGCACTGGTTAGCAGTTACTGCTTAAGTTGCAGTTAGAGTCTCACTGCAATGTAATCTATGAGAGATTATACTTGGAGACAGGTGAAAACAGGGAGAAATATGAATGTACTTCAGTCTTTCCATTTGTTTTCTTCAAGAACTGGAAATTCTTGGAACAACTGCTCCAAAAATAAAAATAACAGTGATTTTAAATCTGTCCTTTCATTTTGCAAATCTCTCAGACTTGTGGGGTTGCATTTCAGCACTGCTGTGTGAACAAAGACAGCCAAGAACAAAAATTCAGGGCCAAAGGGCTGGAAATCAAGCGCAAAACTAATTTTAAGAGACACAAACCTCCTCTTTTGGTTGATTCTCCACAGATTTGGTTTGCATATTCCTTGGCATTCCCTAATCATTTACCTTGTATACTAATAGTGACAACTAAGTACTGTTGTTCCTATCTCAGCATCTCCTTGATGGAGAGAGACTCTGCCATCATCACTTCTATCCAAAAACAAAAGAACTTTTTTT